ACTCTAATTTATAAAAGCAGGACAAAGCAAATTTCATCCATATCGTTAGCAATAGATCCCTATGAGCGTGGAGGTGGGGATGAACTTCAGATTTTAGGAAGTATAGGACTATAGGAACAAGGCCCTAGCTAGTCTAGTGCAAGTGCTAGGGTTGCCAAATAACCTATGAGCGTGGAGGTGGGGATGAACTTCAGATTTTAGGAAGTATAGGACTATAGGAACAAGGCCCTAGCTAGTCTAGTGCATGTGCTAGGGTTGCCAAATAATTTCAAGGTGGTATAGAAATTGAAATCATCCTTTCTGCCCATTTTTGCGTCAATTGCAGAACGAACCGAGGAGTGCAAAAGGTTAGCCCCAATAATTTAGATTAGAGAAGGGGTAGACTGGTATTTTTATTTAATTATCCACCCCATGTTGTAGCTTTCTTGTTTTTCTAATTACTAAGTCATAACCTATTATTCACCAAAAAAAAGGAAAAAGAGTCATGACATTTTACTCAGTCTGATAATCATGACACGTACTAAGAATACTAGAAAAGGAGATGGGATTGACGTCTAAGTTCTGACGCATTTGATACTGAACTCCCTTCCTTAGTCCAAACAAATGATGAGCTCTTAGTTAAATTTTCAAGAAAAAAAAAAAACCCAAATCACCTTTAGCTTAGAAATATTGAATTTAAATACTAAGTCCGGTAATTTTTTTTATTTTGATTATATAAAAAAATAATTATTTTTTATCTTTTATTTTATTTCATCTATATGTCATATGATTAAACTTTAAAATTTTTTATTTTCAATGTAAAAAAATAATTATTAAATTATTTAGGTTGTTGATAAATCAGGTAAATTTTTTCAAAAGAAAAATTTTTTATATTGTATAATTCATTTTTAATTTTTATAAAGCTTGAATTTTTTATTTGCATTTTTTTTTACTGTCAATAGTTTAAATTAATTTTTATATTGGTTAACACTTTTTAATTTAAAACTAATAAAATATCTCAAATTACCAATAAATATATGATATAAATAAGAGATTTGATTATAAATTTAAAATATAAATAAAAAGTTTGACTATTAATTTTTAAATTTTTTACAAATTTTAAATAACGAAAGGTATTGATTAAGATAAAAAAAAAATAATTTAAGATATTAACCATAAAAAATATTGAAAACAAATAGTGCATTTGGGCTTTTATAAGAAAATAAATAAATAAGATGAAAATACATTTGTCAAACAAATTGAAAGCATCAAGCCAACCGGGACCCATGATTAAAATATTCAGCCTTGATTGTTGGCAATTTAGCGGTTGAAACCTGTTTCCCAACACGTTTACCATATTGTTCAATAAAGGGCGCACCTATACTATTAATTCTAAGCAATTTGGCTGGGAGCCTTGTAATGGTGCACCTAGTAAGCTTTAAGAGTTGGGTTCAAACGTCAACTTTATTTCATAAGAATTTGTACATATTCAAAGAACACACGTAATATCAATGATTTAAATAATTTTTTTTTATTGAAAATAAAAAATTATGAATTCAAGTCACATGACATATGAGTGGAATGAGATAAAAGATGAGAGATGATTATCTTCTCTTGTGCAACTTGTGCAATTAAGATCAAAAAAAAAAAAAAAAATAAGATAAAAGATGAGAGATGATTATCTTCTCTTGTGCAACTTATGCAATTAAGACCAAAAAAAAAAAAAAACATAATGGCAAAATACTAACATAAGCAGTCAATATTTCCAAGGCAAGTATTACCAAAATGAAAAATATTTTTAAGGCAATCCATCCCTTGGGAGCATTTGCATATTGACATCTCTTTTTCTTGGATGGCTAAAATCATCCTAAATTTAATGTCACACTTTGATCGATTTATTTAAACTTATATTCATCGGAGATCACATTTTAAATTTGAATTGATTTTAACAATAAGAATTGATCTGCAATTATCCTTAAGATTTAAGTTATTTTTGTCTTTTTAAGTTTTAACCTCCTTCTTTTTTATAATAATAATAAAATATAGTATCACGTAATATCTTTATCAATTGAGACATCTCGAAGACTGTTTATAAAAAAATTCTCTCAAGTAATGTTTATATAACGTTAACAATTTAGATAGTTATGTAATAATTTTTTATATTAAATTAAG